ACATTACTAAATCTGTAATCAATCCCTCAGCTGTAACAATATTAAGAGTATGATAATTCTACCTGTGTGTGGGACCATACAAAATCACTGAAAATTACACTTCTCCCAACATATTTACTAAAATGAGAACTAGGTCGAACTAAGGTAGTGGATTAAACTTGTCTTCTATGAACATTTACTCAAAGTAGTATTTATAGTCGGAAACATATAAGCTGCTATAAAAAATCTTGGCCCAATACTTACTTTGTCGATTATAAAGCACAAAACAAAGGTACAATTAAAAACCCAAAAACCAGTTGATAAGAGCAATTTAAGGTCCAAAGCTGCATCACTGATGCCAATTGATCTGCATGTTCATGTACAAACCCAGTCTCCCTGACTTTGTAACAAAAGTGTTGCCTGTTTATTTAATTAAAACGATAACAAATGAAAAGAAAAATAATACTATACTGGCAGTTATCAGGACAAAAATATGAAGTTATTGATGCATAAAATGAAGATCTATTTTAGAATTTGCAAGATCCATCATCCCAAAACCGTTGATAAATGAAGTTGATAAATGCTGGACAGTGCTTTAATTACCCGGAAAAAGAAATCAATGATCCGTGACAATTTCTACATTTTAACCTGTACAGATGAACAAACTTAATTGACCAACTTAATTGAGGACTACAAACTTCGTCAAAGTTGCATTAAAAATTTTATCATTCAATTAAAGGTAAGTGATAGTTACATTTTTACTGTAATAGAACTTTCCACCAACAAACTTAATTGGGTAAATTATTAATGCTTTTGGAGACATGGAAGGAAAATGTATGTTATACTAAATCTAGCACACAGCAAGCATGTTATACTGATAAAACACATTCCTGTTTGTCTTTTTGGAAAGCTGATAAAACACAATCCCATTTCATTCCATCTACACATTTATTGCACCAATGTGAGTCTGAAACATTGAGAGTAATAAGCATAATGTATATATAGAGCCTGTAACTAGAATCTCTGCGATTTGTAATTCACCATAGTCTCTGCCTCAATGGAGCAGTAATGCCAAGGGAGGTAATTCAATGTGTTTTAAAATATGGCACATCTGGTACCTGGACATATCAATTTCCCACTGTACTCTTCTGACTGTTCTCATCCTCCAAAGGTTGATGAAGCTAGAACGAAATAAGAGAAAAAAAATGAAGATGTTTGCTTTAATAGTGATGACTGTCTTAATTCATTATCATCTTTAAATTGTGACTAAATTGACTGTCCATTTCTTACTTACAGCATGTCCTGTACACAAAAATACATAAATGTAATAAAATAGTTTACTTTCAATTCAGGAAAGGTGCCCATCATATATTTAAATCTAAAATACACAATGTAACTCCATACGATTTGATAACACGAGGGTGCATGTGCTTTCAACGCGACTGGTAAAACTAAATTTTGACAGCCTGGTAAACTTGGCATCTTTGCTGTTTATGTGTGGCAGGATCAACTTAATATCAGGTGGTCAGATCTGTGCTTTAGTTTTAAATATGACACATTGAACAATCCTAGAAATAGTTTACTAGTGAGAGATCACTGAGTGCAAAATATATTTTTCAACTTAACAAAACTAACATGCTGATGAATACCGCATTTCATGGAAATCAGACAGTGACATTGACTGAGTTGTAACAAAATTCTTTTTATTTCCATTTGTTCCATTCTGTGTCCTCTTATACACACCTACTTAATCAAATCAAATTTAAGACATAAGTATTAATGAAACCTGATTCTGTAAGCATGGAGTGTCGATGAAACACGGATTTTAATGAGTGATTGCAGATAAAATATGGATCAATTTACTTTGAATCTATCACCATTCAAACTTACCACTTTTGCCAGTTCTAACCAGTGTAGAGCTTGTTTCATTTTATCATCTTCACATGGTGTTTTGTCAAGGTTCCAGTAGTTCACTTCATGAAATTTATTCATAGTTGCTAAATGACGGTCCTCATCTTCTGTTACAGCTTTCCTTGTTTCCTTGACAACAAGTCCAGTGTAGCCATGAGGTACTTGGATAACCTCCCCTTTTAATGGTCTACCACGAAAAGATGCTGTGACACCTGTAACATTGTATTACCAACCAGGTAAGTACAAATACCATAAGATCTTTGGAAGGCTAAGTAGTAGCAACGGTTTCCAAGAAAAGTGACAGAAATCAGATGTATAAAAAACTAGGTACATATAGGTGATAAAAGGTGGACTGACTGTTAAAGCATTCCGTCTTGCCGCAACATCGATGACTATCGTTCAAAAAGAAATTTGGGTTGACTAGCTATATACAATGTGTTTATAAACCATTTTCCTCAAAAAAACAAAATTAAGAATGGTAGAAAACTGAGAAATTCTTCAATTGATTTTGTGATTTTTTCAGACACAAATAATTTTTGTTAATTTTTGATAGTTATCCAACAAAATGCATGTTTAAGCCAAATACAGCTGGAAAACTGTCCTATATTGTATATTCATTTCAGCCCAGATTATTAAGAAACTCATCTTTAAATAAAACAACTGAGTTATTTTCACACTGACTCATACAAGATAAGATTAGATAACAACAGCAAGGAGAGGAGATTGTGATGACTTCACAAATGTAAACGTGCCATCAAAGAACTGTTGTTATGAACCTTTGGATAGATATTGGGAAAATAAGGACGCCTTATATGACAATTTTAAAGCAACCACTTGGAGTGGCGGCACACCGATGAATTTCGCAAAATCAGAGGATTCTGGAATACAGGCAAATTAAGACCAGATACAGTAAAAAATTAAATATCATTAAATAAATTATCACACTGTTGTAAGTTATATAAAACAATACCAGAATACTGACCCGTTGCGTTTTGAAATAAAACAAATTCTGACTACTGACCGAAAACAAAACAAAAATGAAATCGCAGATATAAGTCTTGCGAAAGTGAGATAGTCCGAAGGAGTATCGTTTTCTCAAGTCTGCTAGTCCAATGGCTATATTGGCCATCGAGTGAATTGGGAATCTGAACTTCTTATGGATAGTGAGATTGAGATTAACTGGAACTCATTTTGTAAAAAACTATCAGAGGTTGAGAATAAATTTGTACCGGTTAAACACATCAAGCGGAGGCATGAAGAGACAGTTCCCACTGTACAAAGAAGTTATTAGAAAAATTATAGAAAAGAATCGACTCTCCAAGAAATATATAAGATCAAGAGATCGAGGAGTGGGGGAAGAATACAACAAAGTTAGAAACCAGGTTAGGAAACTAACTAGGAAAGCAAGGTGAGAGTTTGAACATGGAATATCGGCAAAATCAAAATCAAACCCCAAGATGATATGGAATTACATAAACTCAAGATCTAAGACTAGAGCAGGCATCGGAGACCTGTGTATCGACCCATCGGATAATAAATCGGAGACCACAAGTGATGACAGAAACAAGGCAAATATTCTATCAAAGTTCTTCAGTAGTGTTTTCACAGTAGAACCAGAAGGAGAAATACCTACGCTGGAGCCAAAGGGAGGAGTAGAAGATATCAGAAATATGGAAATTACTGAGGTGGAAGTATTAAAATTGCTGAAGACACTGAAACCCGACAAGTCACCTGGATTGGACAGAATTCACCCTGGATTTATCCGGGAGATAGCTGACTCCATATCCAAACCATTGACAATCCTGTTCAAACAGTCCATGAAGCTAGGGCGTGTCCCTGAGGGTTGGAAAAAGGCTCAAGTCAGTGCCATATACAAGAAAGGCAGCAACAAACTGGCTGGAAATTATAGGCCTGTTAGCTTGACATCAATTATATGCAAAGTTATGGAAACCTTAGTGAGGGAACACGTAATCAAACACATGGAAAAACACAAACTGTTCACGGATAAACAATATGGTTTTATGCCAGGAAGATCAACGGCCCTGCAACTACTAAAAGTCATAGATACATGGACAGACGCTTTAGACGACGGACTCTCAATAGATTGCATTTATATGGACTTCCAAAAAGCGTTTGACACGGTACCCCACCAGCGATTACTTGGAAAACTACAAGCTTATGGAATCAACGGTCATATTCACCGGTGGATTACAGACTTCCTATCAGGCAGGCAGCAGCAGGTGGTAGTGAACGTTGAGGCTTCAGATTGGACCGGGGTATTCAGGTATTCCACAGGGATCAATACTGGGGCCACTCTTGTTCGTGATATATATCAACGATCTACCTGATTCCGTATCATCTGAAGTATATCTTTTCGCCGACGACACCAAAATTTATAATATCATACAAACTATGGACAACAAAACAACACTTCAAGAGGATCTACAGAAATTGGAAGAATGGAGTGATAAATGATTATTGAGATTCCACCCAGAAAAGTGCAAGCACATGCATATTGGGAAGAGTGTTGATAGTTATACATACCAGATAAACAACACAGATCTAGAGCAAGTGGTAGAAGAGAAGGACATAGGAGTAATCATTGATAATGAGCTGAGCTTTGATACCCATATTAGTGAAAAATGTAAAAAGGCAACATCGATATTTGCTATGATCAGAAGAACTTTCCACTCTATGGACGCAGAAACATTCACTCCCCTATACAAAACGATGGTAAGAACCCACCTTGAATACTCAAGCTCTGTTTGGGCTCCATACAGAATGAAGCATATAGAGCAAATTGAGGCAGTTCAAAGAAGAGCAACAAGACAACTACCAGGAATGAAAGACTTGTCATACCCAGAAAGATTAAAAAAGCTGAAATTACCTACTTTGAGTTACAGAAGGAAAAGGGGAGACATGATTGAATTATACAAACTAACCAGTGGGAAATACAATATAGATCATACAAGTATGGTGAAACTTTGGAAAAATACAACATCCAGAACTAGTGGAAGGGGAAACACACTGAAAATATTCCCGGAAAGGTCCAACAGTATCCTTCGGAGGAACTTCTTTGTACAGAGATCCATCTCCCTGTGGAACGACTTGCCAGGGTGTGTTGTAAGAGCGGAGTCGCTCAATACGTTTAAAAACAGACTAGATAAGTTTTGGGAAAGCCAGAATATTTTATACGATGATTTCAAATCTACCATATCAACCTCCGGAAGTCATACAAGAAGTGCTTTAGAAAGATACATTTCGGAGTCCGGCAAAGAGGAGCTCGTTTAGAGACCTGTGCTGGAATATAACCATAAGTAACCATAAGTAAGTAAGTATATTGTAGGGTTTACGCTTGTAACGTAACAAATTTACCTTCATCACTTTTACGCGAGTTTGATTCAAAGTATTGAGCAATATTTGCGTTTCCGTCATAATGAATACGACAAGGCACTGAATGTAGTTTGACATCTTCTAAGTCGGTAGAGACTGTCATGTAAGTAGCCATTTTGATTTCCCGCCTTATCTCAAGCGTTTGCATGTACAAGATTTGTAAGTCTGTTATAAATTCAGAAATAAATGCCGGTACAATTAACTAGAAATGCTTGTACATCGTCTTTATTATACTGTTTGCTTTATTGATTAATATTGCACAAATTATTTTTGTATTTCATCATGGTAAAAAGGATAAAAGACACACGAATATGTTTCCATTTTTTACTAAATCTTTAGAGTCACATCAAAATTCCGGAACACAAACACAATGCTGACGCAGATTCGAAACACAGCTTGACCGTCAAAATGAGATACAGGTATCAAGATCCATCGAAAATCCCAGGGTGGAAGCGATATGGTCGCATAGGTTTATTGCTTGTGGCATTTCATATGGCCGGTTACACCTTGCTTAAAAGAGTTTTTGGAAACGAAGATGGTTCCTCGTCATTAACTGAAATAGGTAAGTTATGGTCAGTAACGTCATAATCCTTGTAAGTTATCTAGTGTTACGGGAGTCCTGTGTATATGTGATGTCGAAGTTTACTCCTTGTTGTTTTGAAATGTGAGCACATGTTGTACTCTATGTGGCGTCTTTTGTGTATTAAATGTACTTTTAGTTCAGACCAAGGTACTATACTCTTTGCACACGGGTGTTCCAGCGTGATAAATCCCCTTTTGGGATTCTTCCTTGGGACTCATTTATATCGGACTTTTGACATCCCACGTCCACAGAAGTCCGATATAAATGAGTACCAAGGGGGAATCCCAATAATAGATTACAGTGTGATGTCCCGTGTAGGTGTTTTTGTGATATTTTGTGTACTGTAGCTACTGTTGTGCGTTTACCGCATATACGGGAAATGCATTGTACAGATTGTACAATAGTGTATATTAATTTATTTTCGTAGATGAAAACATTAAGGCTGCTCATAGGAAAACACTCGCCAAGATGTATGGAGATGCCAAAGTAAAAGAAATAAGAATAAAAGGCCTAACTGTTGTAGAAAAGAAAGAAGTAAGTATTCAGAAATAATGTAGTGGTCTTGGTGTTTAGTTGGTGTGCATATGTACTTTAGCTAAAGCACTTGGAAATAATTGATATTAAGTTAAAGACATATCAGATTTGAAGTGATCCTGTCTCTTGTAAAAACTTTACAAAATTCTGCATAATATTAAGAGGCAGTATATGTAATGAGTATTCCAACTTTTGATAACATTCCAGTCTTTGATAACCAAATTCAATTCAATATGTGTTTAAGTTCTGTTAAATAATTTTCTTCACCAGACAACATTATTGAATAAAGCTGAATGAATGGCAGAACTATGGAGACCAGGAACCGATTGCTGACATGTTAGTCATAAACAATAAGCAGAAAAGTAAGTGTTGCTTAAGGACTGAATTGTGCTGTCACATGGAAGAGCGAAATAGTGTGGCACATTGGTCAACGTGTCAATGCGATAAAGAATTTTCAATTCAATTCTCCGCTGAACTTCCTGTATGAAATTCTACAGAGAAAATTCATGGCATGTGATGAAGGATTTCCTTGGTGTTTTGATTCACAAAGTCTGTGATATGTGATAGCTGTGTTGATAGTAGTGACATACAGTCTATGTATGGTGTGTGATAGCTGTATATGATGTGTGATACCTGTGTGGAGACACATAGTCTATATATGTGTGATTGCTGTCATAATGTGTGATGACAGTCTCCTGTTTATATGGTGTGTGTTAGCTGTATATAGTGTGTGTAAGATATATATATTGTGTGATAGGTGTATGTGGTGTGCGATCGTTGTATATGGTGTGTGGTAATTGTATATGGTGTGTGATAGTTGTATATGGTGTGTGGTAGTTGTATATGGTGTGTGGTAGTTGTATATGGTGTGTGAGACATATGCTGTGTAATTTCTAGATGGGTACATGTCCAGTACAGGGTTTGGCATGGTATATATGTGTGTAAGGTAACACTATGATATAAAATGGTTAAAATATTGTAGAATTAATCATTTGATTGTTGTGTTGCTTGCAGTGTTATATTCTTTGTCAAGGGAAGCATATTTTTCTGCATTACTAAAAAATTATTAATTTCAGGGAATTTGATTTTCATTGATACTGTACATTCTCTTAATCCATGAACTTGTATGTCCATAAAATGATAAACAGCTAAACTTTACATGAGTTATCAGTACTAGTGAGTTTTATGAGTGTCATTAATCCATTGTATAAGTGCAACCTGAGTATCATTTTTTGTTATGGCTTTGTTTGAATGTTTGTTTTTATTTGTTTCGAAAAATATACAGAAATTTGAGTTCTATGAAAGAAAAAAAGAGAAGATTTTTCAGTAATTGTGAACATGTTTGATCATTGATACAAAAATTCTGAAATTTATTTCCATTTTACATCAAGAGAAGTTTGCCAAAAAATGTTCAGTTTCGCCTACCATGTGCCCCTTCGAGTGAAAAAATATCTGTTCATAGGTTTTCACGAAATGTAAATTGCTTCAGATCCTATACCATTGTTTATATTTATTCTAATTCTGGTCTTACTTGCTGTTCTGAGCATGAAGTTGCTATTCTGAGTATGAAGTTGCTATTTTGAATATGAGTTTCTAGACAGGATATGAGTTGTTATTCTGCGTATGCAGTTGCTATTCGGAGTACGAAGTTTCGATCAGAATGTGGTTTTTCCTGTTACATGAATAGCAGTTCTTCTACATTTGTTTTACATGAAGTCTTGTTGATTTTGGCGTTAAGAAGTGTTTGTCTTCTGTATTAAATTTTAAGTAAATAATCAGACTGTTTTTGTTTTTTAGTTATTGAACAATTACCAGTAAGGCACTTTTCAGCACCTTAATCCTATTGTGAGTACTGAGTATTGGTAGTGCCATATGGGGACGAATGTCTATCAGGATTATTTAAAATCTCGACAGATTTTCAAGGTCATTCTTCTTGTGCCATCCTCGATTGAAAGTTGAACATTTCTACCGATTTTGAGACCATGTTTGACCGGTTCAACAGAAGCATGTTAGCTGATAATCGAAATATGATATCGAACTAGACAAAAAAAATATTCAGGAGATTCTGTTGCAATCAGAACTTTTTCATCAACTTGAAACAAGGAATGATATTGTTTTGCATCTATTTTAGATAAATTAAATATTTAAGTCTCATGATGTAGGTTCTGTGAGAGTTGACCATCTAATCCTCTATATGTATCTAGACTTAAAAGTTTGCTAAGTACCAAACCATAACCAGAGAAGATGTCAAACCTGCTGATGATCTAAGATGAGGTAATTTATCAATCATTTCAATTTTCAGCTCACCTTGCCCAAACGGCCAAGTGAGATCATGGCATACCACAGAGTCCGCTGTCCCTCCAACTGTTTTCCTGAAAATTGCTACTAGTTTTAAATGACTGACAAGTTTTTGAGGGTCTCTGCCCATAGGAGCCTGTGGGGAGATGCACGAAGGGGAAATTTTAAAATCCTACCCCTCCTGTGGGAATGATTAGACTTTCTCCATATTTGGTCTGAAGCATTATTAGGTGAAGGGGAATGAATATTGTACATGTATAAACAGTGGGTCTTGCCCCCTCTAGGGCAGGATGGATGGGGACCAAAAGGGGAAATTTCTTCAAAATTCTACTCCTTCTGTATGAATGAATAGATATTGCTCAAATTTGGTGTGAAGCATTCTTAGATGGGGGGAATAAGTTTTGTATTTACTGTGGGTCTCAATCCCTTAGGGTGGCCAGATAGAGGAAATAGAACATATTCTTTGAAATCCTACTCCTGTATGATTGAGAGGGTGTTTTCCAAATTTGGTGTAAAGCATTCTTATGTGAAGGGGAATCAATTTCGTATAAACGTTTGGCCCTCTAAAGTAGGACCCAAATAAGGAAAATATAGCAAATTCTTTAAAATACTACTCCTCCTGTAGGAGTGATTGAATTATGACCAAACTTGGTCTGAACCGTGTTTGGGTGAAGAGGAATCGATTTTGTCATGTGAGCGATACAGGCCCTATGGGCCTCTTGTTTCAAAGTTATCAATATGTGTTCGGATTAATTTCCTTTTGTCTTTGTTAATAGGTGGAAAAAGACAATAGACGAACCCGGAGAAAATTATGTTGTATACTTGTATCCGGAAACTTTCGCTTGCTGAAACAATATTTATAGCATCATTTAAAATTTGCTGTGGGCACTTAGTGTTCTTGACGCATAGGCGTGTCATTTTTCCTTTGATCTAGTTATTGTATAACCAACGTATCTTAGTTATATCCTGTAGTGTTACTGGAGTTCCATCTCATTGGTCGAGAGATCTAATCGAATGGAATTTGCTGATCGCCAATTAGTGTTGTCACATGTGGTACTCCAAACGCGCTTGAAAAATTTAGAGTCCAAAACTCGAAGGATACACCATACAATGCTATCAAATTAAAGCATCAATTTTAGATTCTAGGAGTAGTAAGTGCACATAAATCAAATATTAAAACAAAACCTTTTCGTCAAATTCAATATGTCGAATTGTACGGACAATGAGTGTCCATAACCGTTTATTAAAACTTAATGATACCTCGAAAATGTGAAAAACATTGCCCTGTTGTCGAAGGTTTGAGATGTCCGCCAATTGGCTGAAAGTAGATATCCATCAAATGTCACCAAATCCTCCCGGTGAAAGTCTTCCAAAACATCCAAAACAGCATCTAGGTCCAAGTCATATTGGTCCCGAGTCAATAATTGAGATAAATGAATATCGCACGTTCCGGTACTCGGTTTACCTCCACCCCTCTCCGTGTGTTATAATACCATTTTAAAACCTAAATGAGATATTTTCACTTTCATGTATTTGTAGGATTTCAGAAAGTCTGAAATATAAAAATATCTGAAGAGTTTGTTTATTTCATGTCCGTCTTTGAAACTTTCACTACATTTCTCATTCGTCCCCTTCCTACGGAAAGCAGACATTCACTTTTTATATTCAGAATGTGTAGGGTGAGATTCGTCAGTTTGGTAAGAGATGGATTTGTAATTTAGGTCTCTGATTTGGTCTAATTCGTGATCTTTCTCGTTATAACAAACAGCAAAAGAACGCTGTATTTGCGACTTTTTGAAAACGTTTGTTTTTAAACTTCTTCTTTTCATGCTTCACTGCTCAATTACGACACTTCCGGTGCAACTGACGGCGTGACTTGAGGCGTAGAACTGGCGTGACATGGTCGTCCATGGCAGCAACTTAGTGCTAGCTTGGTAGCTGTGCGTGCTAACGCGGTACGATTTTCTAGTGAGTTACACCGAAAATTTCTGTCTCTAAGATAATAATTTGATGTTAATATTCACATTTAAATGTCTATTAGCGCGTAGGTGCATCCCTGACGCTGTTTTGGGATTCTATCGTTTACGAGTAGTACCGGGAACTGACTGTTGACGTATTTAGAGCATGGCGTGGATGTCAGAGAGCGTAATGCGGGTGAAACAAATTGATTACACGGACATGTAAGTCCCATTGTGATTGCTTTCTGACAACGTAGGTCGGCGAAAATGTACGTAATAGCGGAACTCAAGCCTGCTGGACATGTCGAGAATCTTTAAGCAGGTACATGTATTTTTTGTACATATATAGACATATACACAATCACATTCATTGATGTTTTACCCGACCTCTTTTGGAACATCTGAAGCCGCACATGAAAACTCAGTCCTTATCTCTCATCATATTTTACTGACGGAATCGAACATTTCAGCAGTTTTCTACCTATCAGAGACACATTAGGTCAGTAAAAAGTGTATGTAGTCTGTTGCTGATAAGGACGAGTAACAAATTTTATGGCTATACCAATACACCAGAAGTAGAGATAACAAGCAATCATTATTATCAATGATTGAATAGTACAACTCTCAACTTCATCTTTGCCATTTGCGCTGTCTGTGGTGTAACACGAAATATTTCTAGAAACTTTATCTATCAAAATTTATGTGAACCACACTTGTAAGGCTTCGGTTGGAAGTATGCCAGGAATCCTTCTGTTGTCGGAAAGCGAAATATCTAGGGAAAACCCACTTGGTCGGGCAGATTACTCTCCTTTACCTTTCCATATCACAAATCGAGCCCCAGTCCCCTACATGTATATATAGCTAGATAAAAGCGAGCGTATTACTGCGGTGCCATCCCAGATAGTTATAATTTAGATATTCATACACCGATATTTTGTAATATGAAAGCGAAAACAAAATGGAGTAAGGCCGAGACTGAGCAACCCTTTGTTAGTATCTCAACCCCAGACTTGGAAGACGCCACTTAAAGGAACTTTAACACTTCAGAGACGAACGACCAGAAATGTCCACCTACAAACCACTTTTTAACTTATTCTCTGAAAACATTATCACTTTTAACAATACCGGGGTATTATTTATAAAGCACACTTCTGTTATACTTGAAAACAAATCCTGGTCACGGCACTCTCTTCACTCTCTTGTTCCCCCATGGTGACTTGTTTCTGAACCACTACCTTGTTCCCATGGTGACTTGTTTCTGGACCACTACCTTGTTCCCACGGTAATTTGTATCTGGACCACTACCTTGTTCCCATGGTGACTTGTTTATGGACCACTACCTTGTTCCCATGGTGACTTGTTTCTGGACCACTACCTTGTTCCCACGGTAATTTGTATCTGGACCACTACCTTGTTCCTATGGTGACTTGTTTCTGGACCACTACCTTGTTCCTATGGTGACTTGTTTCTGAATCACTCTCTTGTTACCATGGAGACGTATTTCTGAATCACTCTCTTGTTACCATGGTGACGTATTTTGGACCACTCTCTTGTTCTCAGCGTGGTTGTTTCTGGATTTCTCTCATGTTCCCATGGTGACTTGTATCTGGACCAATCTAATGGCCCCACGGTGACTTGTATTTGGACTACTGCTTTGTTTCCATGGTGACTTGTATCTGGACTACTGCTTTGTTTCCATGGTGACTTGTTTATGGACCACTACCTTGTTCCCATGGTGACTTGTTTCTGGACCACTACCTTGTTCCCATGGTGACTTGTATCTGGACCACTACCTTGTTCCCATGGTGACTTGTTTATGGACCACTACCTTGTTCCCATGGTGACTTGTTTCTGGACCACTACCTTGTTCCCACGGTAATTTGTATCTGGACCACTACCTTGTTCCTATGGTGACTTGTTTCTGGACCACTACCTTGTTCCTATGGTGACTTGTTTCTGAATCACTCTCTTGTTACCATGGAGACGTATTTCTGAATCACTCTCTTGTTACCATGGTGACGTATTTTGGACCACTCTCTTGTTCTCAGCGTGGTTGTTTCTGGATTTCTCTCATGTTCCCATGGTGACTTGTATCTGGACCAATCTAATGGCCCCACGGTGACTTGTATTTGGACTACTGCTTTGTTTCCATGGTGACTTGTATCTGGACTACTGCTTTGTTTCCATGGTGACTTGTATCTGGACCACTACTTGTTCCCATTGTGTCATGTTATTAGTTCTTTGAAGTACGTGACCGTCTTGACTTACCGGTCGTGTCGGGTCTTAGTATCATCATAGCACCACTTTGTCGATAAATGCTAACAAACAACTATCACTTGTGTGTAAATAAGAACAAAGTTTATTGAGTAAAAAATCACAGAAATGTTAACAATTAGAAAAAAAACCAAGAAATAGATATTGGGGGTAGGGGTTGGGGTTGGGGGTAGGGGTTGGGGGGTACGGGTTAGGGTTGGGTAAGTACTCCAGTACACTTTACCTACCTCATTATAAGCCTTACACTGACAATACGATTTACACGAACACTTATTTTAATGATAGTAAATGAGTCACTTATGTATCGTTTAACTGTCGTAATTTTATATTGATTCTAATACGAACTGAGTGTCGATCATCCGTTCGTACATTAATGTATTAAGTTTCTGTTAATTAAAGTTTCTAGGGTGCCGAATTCTTTTTAAACAGGTAGCTGAACTAATTACAATATACATGGGTTTAGAGATAGATTCGTTCAGCTAAGTACAGTGTCGCTCTCAGGATTTCAACCATACAGATTTTTTAAATCCATAATTAAGATTCGTAGATCCTGTTACCGTAACATGTCATTACAGAAAATTGTTAATACAAAACCCACAATTTACTCCACATAACGAGTAGGTTTTTCGACCGTGTCCAATAACTTACGTAAACCTTTTATCTGATACTCTAAGACATATTTTTTAATTACTTTTTATTTTCTTGAATTTTGATTTTCTGTTAACGTCGAAGTCATGCTACATACTGTGTCATGTGTTCGAAACTTGATGGAAAATGTCTTCTACAAGAGTTCTAAATCTTACTAAAGACAACCCGTTTGTAGAAGTATACTAAATCACACAGGAATATTTAGGTACGATAAATACAACAACTGCTCTCTTTCTGGTAGTATGGAGATAACTCAATAATACATAAAGTTTTAAAACGTGAAAATCCGCGTACACAATGACATAATGAACTATGGTTGCCAGTGACCCTAGTGGTACCCTGAATATACCTTATAATGACAATGGTATGATTTTTTGTGTGTGTCTGTAATTTCTTTGGCATGGGATATCCTTTTCAATGGAAGACAAGGTTTTGTATCGAAAGCATAATGCTTTGACAATAATAGTTCTGTAAGTGTTTATGTAGCAGATGCCTGAAAATTTACGGCAATACAAGTGAACCTTTGTGGGGTTCCATTTGAATGATATAAACATATTCTGAACCTTATTAAAACACAGATACCCAAAATAGCAACGACATCCAAATTCTATATGACCATTGCATTTCAGCACGGCTCCGTGATCAGAACAATGTACACTGGCGAAAATCAAATATATCTAACATTATGAGGCGACAGCACACGGTCGGCCAGATATGTCCTTGTTATATACTCATAATTAGTCTAGCGAAAGCCTAATGAACGTTGTCACACAGAGGGACGTCTGTTCTTCTACAATACAAATACACTAGACTATCTTGTGACCGTACGGAACGTTTATCAACCTTTCGTATTGTATAGATCTGTACGGTGTCAATATACATTGTACCGAATAGATAGATCTACTTGTATACCAACTATTGCTCAATGTCTTCTCAGTCCTTTCACACGACCTCTCTGCCGATACACCTGATACTCGCGACTACTATCGTAAATAGGTGGTAATGTAGTAATAATATAACATTTTTATCATTACTTCAATGACCATAAAATACACATACAAGCTAACGTCAAAATCAAAAAGAAATTAAACTTGCAGACAATATTTCGTGATATGATAAAAAAACCCATTAAAGCTGTCATCATTAGACAGATCCACGAGGTAAGGTTTCAGTTTGGACAGATCTCCTGTCTAGCAACGTGGAAGACATAGACTTACAGTTTTGTGTTGCTTGTCTATACCGAGCAATGCTCTGCAGCCAACAATGGAAGTTGATACGCTGTGCTTCCCCGAACCAATTACTGGCAAACGCCGAGGCAACCAGCATGTGTACATCGTGTTCGAACTCATTACCACAGCGCGCGTAGTTCTCGTAGCACCGTTTGATAGCACTGAAGATCCGGTCGCTGTCCGCGTAACACGGTTTCTTGAGAAGAAACCTAGCGATGAGGAGAGAAAGTTTGGCGATACTCTCCGGCGTGTAACCGTAATCATAATCGGGATCAAAGTCAGCATACTGCACATCCAAAAGCTCGTTTCGTTTTTCTTGCAGTTCCTCTCTCGATTTTCGGTATTCTCTCTCCAGAACACGATTCTTTGACTCTGAAATCTGCAGATCACGTTTGAATGTTTTCAGTTGTTGCTCCAAGAATGAAATGCGTGAGACAAGGTTAGACACTTCCGCTGACGTAATGCTGGCGTTCAGTCGAATGTTGCCAAGTCGAGAGGCAGCCAAAGAGCGATCATTATCTATGTCGTCCTTGATGGCGGCAGCGATTCCCTCGCAGCGCATTTGGTGTGCGGCTAATTCATAGCGATGGATGCTGGTGCCACATCCTGCACAGTTGACGGGTACATACCCACACGTCTCGATATGACAGGCTAGCTTTTCGAGTTTCGTGATCACTTTGCAGCCTCGTTCATTGTTGTCACACGTGACGTCAAATCCGTTTATGAGGTTTCGGAGTGAGAGCACAGGTTTGGCATCGTTCTCTGTTACTTTACTCCGACATTCTGGACACGTCCGGACGTCCGGTTTACTGAGCCAAGTATTGAGGCACAACCTACAGAAGCTGTGTCCGCAGGGTGTCAACACGGGATCTTCCAGCACGGATCCGCAAATTCCACAAATTAAGTTCGGATCGACAGTGGTGATAAAGCGATGTGTGCTAAACCCCATTGTCGGTGTTAATATGGACTTGAAGGACTGCTTCAAAGTTTACCACCCACTAAATCACTTGACAGATACTCGTGTTCCTGAGTTAGTACCTGGTGACAGAGTATCGGACAGAGGCAGTCCGTCGCCATTCGTATTGTGTGTAGGCTGTAAGTCCAATATTTCTCACAACAGTTTTCCACCGGTGACTATATTTAACTCCTCAAATGAAGTGTAACAATATTTTTTGTCACTTTAGGTTGACGCAGCTTACCTAAGTGTATACTGTTTATGTAAATCACTTCCCATTTAATATACACAGAACATTGTAGATGAAGCGGAAACAGCTTTTCCAAAGTGATTAAAGTTTTGAAATATATTTGTAAATAAATCCGAATGGCACACGAAGTAATGATAACAATAGAGATCACAGGACTATCTTTTCTTGTCCTGTCTGATCGATATCGATCTCTTCAATATTTATCCATCGTTTAAAGCCTTGGTCCGATATTTTAAATGTCTGCCGTATCCCGTGTCACAGCATTCCTGGCCGAGGTAACAATGAGTGATTGGAGCGTGGCCGCTTGTTCGCCGTTACCTGTATGCTACCTGTAGAGTCTATACATAATTATATGGAAATCAATACACATTTCGTGCATGGTGCCTGACGATCACGGAGAGAGACGGATAAACCCGGCTCACAGCGGGCGTGATATCTCCCCGGAGGAACACCGACCGTCCCACACGCGGTATCATTATATCGATAGTTTACCATGTACTGCAGGATGTGAACCGGTACTACTGTCCATTAGGTTATTGATGGACAGAAGGTACAGCCTGTCAGTTATGGTTAACACCGCTAGTGTTTCACACGTAGCTATAAACTCCTCGTCCACAGTTTAGTAAAAGGTGGCCTGTTATTGGAAGGACCGGAGGGTTGATATTTTTTTATTAAGTGTAATGCATGTCCGTTCTTTTATCAATCTGTTTATAATGATGAGTGGGCGTGGCTGATGGTCCACCCGACAGATGTTAGAAAAAGGACTCATACTTAATGCATGTTCCTTTCTTCTTCCTCAATTAGACGCATAGCTATAGATCTCCCTGCCATCTTTCATGTATCGATATCCAATCATCGTACAGAAGTTATATTACCGTATACGACCCTGCACGAGCCTTGCACCCATCTGTCATTCGTAAATATCCGTAAACCTTCTTCGATAACCTGTTCATAGGCCTCTATCACAGGGACAGGAGGAAATGTTACGGTTTATCAGAATACAGATCTATCCTAGAATATTCAATGTGATCGGTAGGGGTTACATTGATTTTTGGTGAAAATGATCCCCCTCTTGCACATATAGGGGCGTGTCTTTTACCTAATTTCGATTTAAACATACACCACCTCAAAATCTCTTTGAAGGCTTATAAGCCAGAGTGCGAGTCCATCCTCACTTAGACTTGTACAAGTTCTCACGTCCCTGTGGTCGTTTAGCCACTTGTTCCCACACTTTATAAATACAGAGATGTTCACACACAAGGTCATATATTGACAGTTAGTTAACTAAGGACTCATTGTCCGGTTGAAACACGACACCTTTTAGAAACTTGTTTGTCTACAACAGCTAGGTATTTTACAGCTAATACACCGTGTACAATGTTGATATACATAATGGATGTTGTAACGAGTATAATACACTTCTTACACACTCCTCTGACAGGTAACTCTTTGGTATATATAGGTAGCAAAACTATGTTTTCATTTCAATTCAAAATATTTCCAATCCGGTGTGACAATGAGAAACGGTCACAGTGACATCCTTTGTACTAATTCCCTACCACTAACCAAGATTTCCGTCAAAGTTGTTTACAAGTGTAGGTAAAATCAAATAGATTTATCTGCTTTTTTTAATAAATCACATAGCTTAGTTCGCTGAACGTAAGGTTTACTGTTATGATGTACAAGTGCTTGTCGAAACACAGCGGAGATCAAATCGGTATGTTGAATTAATTAGTAAACGTGTTTCAATAATATGGAAATGATATCTCCAGACAACATTGCATCACAAAGACACACAAAATGTCAAGTGATAGAATGTCAGTACGTCAACCAAAACGATACTTAATTGAAATTAACCTACGGAACACTAGACATTTCTTACAACTCCATATCACGAAACGACAAAAGTCACGTGATACTTTGTCGGATCTATCGCCCCAAGGTTAACAAGGAATATAGTCTCCTTGAAGAAGCTGGTATATTCTTAATGAACATCAGGAGGGAGGCAATCGAGAGCGATTGGATGGATTGCTCAAAGATATAACCATAACGGTACGGCTTCCGAAGAAACACAACCGTCCTGCTAAGGAGTCTCTTCCGGTTGAACGAGTTTCTACAAAATGAGCAAGTATACCGACTGAGCGAGTCTCTAACGACTCTACCATTTGAACGAGTTTCTACAAAATGAGCCGGTCTACCGACTGAGTGGGTCGCTAACGACTCTACCGACTGGACAAGTCTATATCGACTCTTCCAACTGAGCGAGTTTCTAACGACTGAATGAGTCTCTATCGAGTCTACCAACCTAGCTAGCCTATACTGACAGAACGAGTTACTGCCAACTGAGTGGGTCTGTAATGACTCTACCGGTTGAACGAGTTTCTACAGACTGAGCCGGTCTACCGACTGAGTGGGTCGCTATCGACTCTACCGACTGAGCGAGCTTCTACCAACTGAGCGAGATTATACCGACTGAATGAGTCTCTATCGAGTCTACCAACCTAGCTAGCCTATACTGACTGAACGAGTTACTGCTGACTGAGCCAGTCTACCGACTGAGTGGGTCTGTAATGACTCTACCGGTTGAACGAGTTTCTACAGACTGAGCCAGTCTACCGACTGAGTGGGTCGCTATCGACTCTACCGACTGAGCGAGCTTCTACCAACTGAGCGAGATTCTACCGACTGAATGAGTCTCTGTCGAGTCTACCAACCTAGCTAGCCTATACTGACAGAACGAGTTACTGCCGACTGAACGAGTTACCTCCGACTGAGCTAGTCTCTACCGACCGATTTATCGCAGCCCCACAGAGTATGGACCACTGAAAAAAAAGGTTTTTGTGTTGCCGAGGGTATGCTTCTACTTCATTGTGATTAAGGATTTCTGACAAAGTGACCGCAACTTATCGAATTTCATTGAAAACTCCTCAACGGCTGGTAATGTACAGAAAGCGTAGAAGTTTTTGCTTTGTAACATTCCTGGAATAATGTTGTTTCCTGTGAGCCTTGTGGGTAACATTATCATAAAACTTTCCTATTACCTGATATTACGTGATATTCCACAATGCAATAGAGAACACCCAGGAGTAGGCTGGAAGCAGAAAACAGCTTAAAAAGTGATCTGCAGTAGGAAAAATAATGTCCTCTTTTGTAATGTTGATAGACGACCGATTTATTTGAAATGGTGGTGAACTTTTAGTAACTTTAAAGACTCTACTGAAACGGAAAAATTCTCGTGCAGATTCAATTCTATCTCCTTTTGTAAAAAAATCATTTCATCTTTTTAAGGGATGTGATTCTTTGACAGTGTAAACCATAATGATACACATGTCGGCGTTATGAAAGGTTTATTGAAATCTTTATCATACGATACTTTGATAAATTTCATAAGAACTGACACTTATGCATCTATGTGGCCTACCTCCAACCTTGATGAAATATGCATTGTGTCGATGTAGATGATTAGAAGTTTATTATATCTCGAAATGACGTTTTTATTAATTCTTTATTCTGTCCGCGATTTACTTTGTCGTTGGTGCATAAGTCTAAAGCCTACGACTGAGACCTGCCTATCAAAGTCACATCTATTTGCAATAAGTGTTACCATTACTTCGCTTGTGTCATGCAATGGGGCGGGTGCTCTTAATGTTACTTTTACCAATAGATTGGCGTTTTCAAAATGCATCAAATCAATTTCGGTACGAATGAATGATAAGGTATACATGTAATTCAAATTATTGTAAAAATCGAGACCGATTTTGGTTTCGAGGTCGTTGTAAATATAATCTTATTGATTATCGATAACTGAACCAGGAGAGATAGACTCCGTTCACCGAAAACATAGCATATCATTATGATAACTCCTTATTTCAATGAAAGTTATATGGACGGAAGGATTTTTTCACTACGTTGTGCTGTAGTACTGGGATCAAACATCCTTAAGGATAGACACAGGCACCTGTATCTGAAACAACACAAGCAAAAATCCGGTCCACTATACATCATACAAATCTTGTCCACTATACATCATACAAATCTTGTCCACTATGCACCATACAAATCTTGTCCACTATACATCATACAAATCTTGTCCACTATACATCATACAAATCTTGTCCACTATGCACCATACAAATCTTGTCCACTATACATCATACAAATCTTGATCACTATACATCATACAAATCTTGTCCACTATGCACCATACAAATCTTGTCCACTATACATCATACAAATCTTGATCACTATGCATCATACAAATCTTGTCCACTATACATCATACAAATCTTGTCCACTATGGCGTCATACAAATCTTGTCCACTATGCACCATACAAATCTTGATCACTATGCATCATACAAATCTTGTCCACTATACATCATACAAATCTTGTCCACTTTGCACCATACAAATCTAGTCCACTATACATCATACAAATCTTGTCCAATTTGCACCATACAAATCTTGTCCACTATACACCATACAAATCTAGTCCACTCTGCACCATACAAATCTTGTCCACTATGCATCATACAAATCTTGTCCACTATGGCATCATACAAATCTTGATCACTATGTATCATACAAATCTAGTCCACTATACATCATACAAATCTTGTACAATTTGCACCATACAAATCTTGTCCACTATACACCATACAAATCTAGTCCACTCTGCACCATACAAATCTTGTCCACTATACATCATACAAATCTTGTCCACTATACATCATACAAATCTTGTC